TACCGTACAAGCATGTACGGATTTGAAACCAACAAACATACGAGAGATATTTGTAAGTGCTCCCCTTGTTTCGTAAAGTTCCTTCAACTTCCGCGATTCTGAATGCGTGCCTGAGAGTTTGGGGGCAGACCCTGCAATTGGTCTAGATTGCTCGGTAGAAGGGTTTAAATTGACACAAGTTGAATTGCCGGGACAGGCCCTTGAATTGGCCTGACAGGGATATGAATTGGCCTGGCAGGGACATTCCGACAGTCAGAATTAGCCTGACAGGGATACGAATTAGCCTGGCGGGACATTCCGACAGTCAGAATTAGGCTGACAGGGTGTCGAATTGGCCTGGCAGGGACATTCGGACAGTCAGAATTAGCGTGTTCAGGGTGTCGAATTAGGGAAGCACGGGAATTGTGCGACCGGGGCAGTCAAAAGAATTGCTCTGCCCGACAGTTTGTCCTACCCTCTAGTACACCGTGCTCCCCAATAAGCATACAGGCTTATTGCTAGCTGTGTTTGGTTCCAAATTTACTGAGATTGGTACTCATTGCATGCTCAGCTTCCTCTTAATTGGGCATAATCATTGTGTGGTTCTTGGAACGGGAAAATATTTCAGTGATTTATCCTATTGCTTGCGTACTTGCGTTTGGTGCTTGCGAGTCGAGATCGATCGCCATTGTACTACCTTATGGACCTTACAAAGTTATAAGGGCCGAACCAGAGAACACAAATTTCCATTCTTGAAAATCTTTGGTAGTATATTTGTCAGTGGGTAGCGGAAGTGCGTCCCACCTTAGCGGAATATACTCATATTTGGCCTCCCCACGGTGCGCAAAGGCGCAAGGTGGGCATCGGTTCATAGCTCTTCAAAGCGGTCATGGATGTCTTCATGCAGCCTCGGGACAACGGCTGAACAATCACAAGGTTGAACTTTGCCGCTTGGCACTTTCACCTTTGCCACGATGCTTTTGTGACACGCAATTGGTATGGCGTCACCAAATGCGTGTCAGTGGAAAAGGCTCTATGGCAGATTTTTTTGCCCGTCGCCAAAAAAAGTGTCACCATTAGCTCCTGCTACGAGTCTATTGCCATTTCTGTTACAGATATTGGCTGTGCTCTCACGGCCTGATCGAAGGAAAGGCCGCACCGAACAACAAAAACAAGACTTGCATCACGCGCTATTTATGCAAAAGGCGATCCTGAGGACACGGATCGCCGGCCTCAAGTCGTACCACTTAAACGGCCGTAAGGCCCTACGCCTTAGCTAACCCGGCTCAAGCTTCGCATAGCCCGCAATACACCGTACACCGCGTTCAAACATGCAGAATGCCGCTCAGAACAGGTCCGAATTCTCATTCTAACTCAGTAATAAGTTATATGTTATAGTTTTCCACACAACAAAAGGCTTGCCGGCAAACTTTCCACGAGCGCCCTCCCAAGGCGTCCAAGAAGCCGAAGCAGCTCTTACTCACAGCTCAACTGCCCAGGCTAGACCGCAATGCTCCTGTTGAGCTCAGGGCTGGCATTGCTGATGTTAGGCTTGCACCGGAAGTCGCCAAAATGTGTCACAACTGCAATTATGTCTGGCACTCGTCACCAAAATTGCAAACTATTAGCATAATTCCGGCTATGATTTTCTCGAGCCTTCCCAAAAAGCGTGTAACAAAAACATCGTGGCAGTAAGGTACAAGACCAGCAGACATACCACTTTGGGGAAACCCTTTGCTAAATGATGCTCAGTTGGACGAGCAATTTGGTGATCTTCGGAATATGCGTGGGTTAGACACTGTAGGTATTGCCGTACGGTGTTTCATTGCTATGTCGTCTACTTGGCATTTGGTGCGCACGGTTGGTGTACAAGGCCTCACTGAGGCGCAACACCTTCAATGTACGAACCATTTTCGTACTATTGTTGTACGGGGGATATTAGGGCTCACTCCGAGGCACCCCCTGCCGGCATATTGTCAGTCGGGGGCGAATGCCATAACGCGTATATCACAACTTATAGACCGCCTCCCCCCGCTATGGACCATAGCGGCGAGAGTGGCTATGAATGGCGGAAACCATGAAATACCGCCTCCGCAAGAGGCCTGGAAAAGAATAGTTAAAAGCTTGAGTCGGAGGTTTCGACAAGTGCTGGTTAATTTTTTATCAATTAACTGTTAAGTTAGAAAACCCTTCTGTCTTCCAGTACAATGGCCCGCGACCTGTTCTCCATCATTGACCGCGGACTTAGGTCGACGCGTGGCCCTTCAGGCCGCATAACACATTTCGTATACGGCGCACGATCCTATTTCTGCAAGCCGACCACTTCGGGAACTCTACTTCTGTTTTCGGGAGTTTCGGTACAACCCGAAACTCCCGACGCGTTGCCGACGACTGGTGTACAATGAGGAGGCCTGAAAGCTCACGTCTGAACCTTATCTTTTTTGTTTAAGCGTACTAATCGAGGTTTTGTGTCCAGTGAAGTAAGTACGGCCTGGCCGAGTTCTTTGTGAATAAGGCCCACAGTGTTGTGCGGGAAGCGTTCCTTGGGGTGCTGCAGTCGACCCGTTCGGAATCCACTGTAATAATGCTTACCGATTGAACATGGCCGCGTTCTTGGCGGAAGCCTTGGCCGTGGACCGGCCATCGCCACTAAATGTGCGTGAAAGTAATCTTTACATTAATTTATATGGCTTCAGTAAATCCTTTTTTGTAGACCCATGGCAGCGCTCGTATCATATGGCGGCAGATATGAAGCTGGCCATATCTTCTATCATAATAGTAACTAAAGTTTCTGAAGAACATAAAGCTTGCATAGGAACAACATCAACTTTCTAATACATTCAACTTTGGGTCAGTATAGGCAGTTTGTTATGATAACCAATAGAAGCCGTCCAAGCGTATAGCGGCAAAGCTCCCTAGGAATGCCAAGCTAGTACGGCACCGTACATGCTCTGTGCTAACATGTCGATGTGTAGCCTTCGGATTGCAAAATTGAAAATCTTAACTTTTCACTTGACTGGCAGTACTGCACTGGCATCACGGCCGACCACGTTTCAGTGACCGCAGTCTTTCCTTTTCGAGTTCCGGTAGATAGTACAATGTTTTAAATTGACAACGTACCCGTGTCTTACTAGGGATTTCCAGGAGAGAGGCGCTGCCTTCTTCATGCTTAATACTTCATTTGACGTTAGTTGCAAACCTTAGACACCAGCAGATCGTCAACAGCAGTTCTCGTTATATCTGTGCTTATTTTGGCACATTACAGGAATGAAGGGTGCCCCTGAGGAGCCTGCCAGGGGTGCGGGATCTTTAGGGCGGCATCACCACAAGCATAAGCAGAAAAAGGACAAACATAAGCATAAAGACAAGAGCAAGCGGCGGGAGGCAGTTGAGCGCAATAAGGAGGTTGGTTCGGACGTGGAAAGCGGGGAAATCCTCGGCGACGGTGCGGAAGGGCCGGGCCCTGAGCCAGAGGTTCAGAAAACACTTACGCAGTCCCAGCAGTTGCACGGGGACAGCTGTACTGACGTACCTGCAGTGCACAGGGCTGCCGGCGTGTCGCCAGCGGCGGAGGACGACCAACACGCATTGCGAAGGTTGGTTTGAAGGCGTGGTGTGCACGGTAGTGCATTGGTTGTGTGGTGCTTTGGGCTCACGTATTCACCATTTAACCCATTAAATAGTTCCCACACGCCGCATCTCCCCCACCGTGTCGCTGCAGAACGCGTACTGGACCGCCAGAAGCCGGCAGCAAGCCCGCGGAGGTGTCAGGACAGCGTGATGAGCCCTATGCTGGCTCCCGCAAGCGAGAGCGTGTTGAAGTGGACGAGGGACCCGGCTCTGGTGAAGCGGCAGGAAACGGCCAGGTTGGTGGTTCAGACAGGGAGATGGATGGAAACCTTAAGAGGCATGGGCCAGGCCTTTATCTCATTAGTCATCTCCCCTGCAAGTGCTGCTATCCTTTGCCGTTGCGTCTTCACAGGACGCAGCCTACCGGAGCCGTAAGGAGGCTCGTCGTGAACCGGAGGTTGATGACGTTCTGGACGATTCAGGGATTCGGGCTGTTCCTCAGCACCGGGCAGATCCCATGGAGCGGCCGCGTGACAGGCAGCAAAGCAAGCGGGACCGAGACCGGGAGCGAGAGTATCGCCAGGATGGAGAGTCCAGGGAGTATGAGCGACAGAGAGAGCGGGAACGGCAACGCGATGGCGACCGTGCCAGGTACGGAGTGTGGTTTTGCAATTCGGTTGAAAAACGTGATGCGCTTGTTTTTAGGGTTTTTAGGTTTGTTGCTTGTCTCAGCGCTTCCCATGGCACGTAGCGTGCTGAACACTATGATCAAATAAGACCTTACTAGATTACCTCTCTTTCCTATACTTGCTTAAGAGGTGTCTTGCTGCTTGTTCATTGCACGGCGTGCCCATAAGAAGGGCTGCTGGTCGTCAAAGTGCCGGCTGTAAATTTCTAAACACGTTCACCTTTTCTTGGTCTGCACAGAGGTGACGTCCCTGCCGGCGCAAGCCGGGACGAACGGAAGGACGGCAGAGAGCGTGACGGCAAGGATCGAAAGGATCGGGGTGACAGGGAGCGGTACCGCGAGCGAGAGCGCGAGAAAGAGCGCGAGGAGCGTCCCGGCAGCCATCGGGAGCGTTCCCACAGGCGAGACGGCTCCAGGGATGTCGACCTACGAAGGGCAAGCCGGGAGCGATCCAGGTGCGAGTCCAGTCCGTGTCCCCGGTGGTTGTCGTGCAAGTCGCGGATCTAGACTTCCGTCCAACGTACCCCTCGCGTCTGTCCTGAAACCACAACGTTTGTCAGCCCTGCTCGGCTTAAACCAGAGCAGCGTTGTTCTGAGGTTGAACTTTCTGTTTTTGAGGATTTGAACTGCTGCAAGCGCTCGTCCAATTGTTGCTGTGCTGCAGGTAGTTGTGGCCGCTGCGTCTGTCCAAACATGTCTGCTGCTCGGTCGGTTGGGTCTGCCAGCGCTCGCTGCTGCCACTTCTGCCAAACTTTGCGCCACCATCATTCGCGTTCCTTGCATGCCCGTCAGGTAGCGTACTGACGAAAACCGCTGAAAGTTGAACAAGCGAACATGTTTTCGCGGCACACACCCAACACATGTTTACCCGACTCAGTCTTCGTGTAGAAAATTCTTTATTCCTGAAGAAAGGAAGACCCATCAGTACATTAGGACCGGAAGGCGTCGCGGGGTGATAACGCGGTAGGCTCAAAAACTCCTTATTAGGATTTTGATGGTGCCAGGTGCTCCTCGTTTGGGCCTGGTGCTTCTCGTGTTTTATGAAGCGTTTCGCAACAAATAGCAACGTCAATTGCGGGCTTGGCATCCTGGGACTTCTGTTCGCAGGTCCCGGCGGGAGGAGGGCCGTGGGCGCAGCCAGAGCCGCAGCCCCTCTGGGAGAGCTGCAGATCGCCGAGCCGGAGACCGGCGTGAACGCGACAAGAGGGATGGGGGACGCGATCGCGGCTGGCCCTCCAACCGAGAAGCTCATCGAGAGCAGCAGGACAGCGAGGGAAGGGACGCAGGCAAGGGCGTTGACAGAGGCCGGTCTTCCCCGCAGGCCAAGTCGCCGGAGGTAGGAGAGGGCATCACCCTGAAAACGGCTGGCTTGCAAGTTGTGTGAAAAAGCAATTGTTGCTGTTCATCTCGGCCATTTTAAAGTGCCTGTCGTTGCTGATGGTTGTCCTAAAGAAACGTTGGCTCATCTGTTAATCGGTGTCAAACAGCAGAAAATGTCGGGTGAGTCCAACAGTTCTCACCGCTGCGTCACGTTTTTCCCACCCGCCGAAGCTGACAGTGGCACTTGATCTGCTCCGCCGTCTTGTCCGCGTTGTTCCGGAGTTGGAGTGAACC